ATTTGCTAATACCTCGCAAAAACTACTTCATTAATGAGTTATTGAGTTCTTAGTCTGTCCCAGAGTTCATGTGCAGCCAACTATATAAGTCTCTTTTTAGTAACTATGGCAGTTTTATAAGACCAAATACCTATAATGTAATTTTTGATCTCTCTATAGAACTTCGCAATTGCATAATGTTTCCATTTATTAATAATTTTTTATGTCCAGAATATTGAATACATAACTGTTTAATGAGAAAACTGATCGATATCTTAAAAACGATGACACACTATCATTGTTTAAAACGGTGAAAAATTCCCACTTGACACCATTATTTCTTTGAATTCGATTTCAAATGATTTGGATTATCTCGTTGTTGATATTTTTAATTAAAATCTCGTCAGTCCTGGTTGGCATATAAGCATCCTGAGCGGATTACCTCAATATAGTTATTATTACACAAGTTGACATAGAATAGATGGAATGTAGTTGACATTGGTTTTTAGAATACGCATTTCGTCATATCAGCTGGATGTGCTTGCTCTGGGACTCAAAACCAGTACCGTTTTATTCAAACACTATCGCGTTATCCACTTGGCTACTGAGTCCAGACAATCACACACTTGTGCAACCGGTATGAAATTTAATTCAATTTGAAATGGTTTAGATTGCTCCGTTGTAATATTGCTATTTCCTCTCTTTCAATGTTGGTGTATTCACATCTAGTATAATTCAACAACCTTTACTTCAATATTTGATAAATCATCATTCAATAGGCTGTCAAGTTATAATGGTAATCAGTAATTAGGTACTGTTAGTATAATTCATATCGTCTAATTTTTGAACAATAAGTTTGAATGAGCTGGTCTAAAAGGTTTAATTCATCCATATTAACTATAAAAATATTATTTCATATACATATTATGTATTTCATAAAATGAAAACTCATCAGACTATCATGTAAAACCTACTGATAAGTATTGATTAGAAGTTTTGGCCACCTTCACCGCAAGGTTTTGAGTGTTTATTTCAAGTGAAAGAAAATGGAACATCATTGAAGCTGATTCTTTGTTCTAAGTTAGTAAAAGATAATGATATATTTCATCTTGATTAACAGTATTATGAAACTAACTGAACGATGAATCTTACAGTTCATTACGTTTATATACGTGAAATTATGAAATAAATCAAGATATCAGAATACTTTAACTGATCAATTATTTCATCTATTAAGGTATAATCCTACCCCATCAACTGAAATATGAAACTATAAACCACTTCTCTTAATTCAATTAGTACCATTAAACATTGAATAGATTATGGTGATGTACTAATATGCATTTATGAACTAATATATTCGTTATTACAATCGCAGTGAATCAACAAAGTCCTTTAATGGTGGAAAAAAGCATAAAAAGAAATAAATAACTTGATCCTGATAATTATCTGTCGTAAAGTTGTTTAGTCTTTGTCAAACGAATCTAAATCCTTTGTGAATATTAAAAAAATCCATATATATTTTTGAAAACAATGAACCGGTAGTACATTTGGTTAATAAATGTCAACCATTGAATTTCAATGTCTACGGATTACTAAAAGACATAATCAACAAAAAATGATGATTACAGAAGAAATAATTTACAATACTAAAAAGTTGTAGACTAGAGTGGAGTAGATATTAAATTACCATCGGGTTTTACTGGTCGTTTGATGATATATAAGTTTGTAGTGAAAACAATTACATCTCATATCACCGGACTTGAATGCAGTACATTTTGTTTCAGACGCTTAACGCATTATCGTCTTAGCTACTGATTACAGATAGCTACTGACTTGTGGAACTCTATTTATAATTCTTCTAATTTCATGGAAATTTCGAAACTATCTGTACAGAATGCACATATGCAAAAGAGATAAGTCGACTGCTATCATAAACATCAATGGTAAAATACAAATAATCAATACAAATGAATCTTTATGTGATAATAGCTCTAAACAGCTCACAGACATTACTTTTTAAAACCTTTTGGTGTAAAACAGCAATAACTTTACCTTTCCTCAAAACAATGGAAAAATTATTGAGATTCCCATTTCAACCTGTATTAAAAGAGCACATTGGTCCGTATCAACTTGCTTACAGATGCAAAAGAAGCCCCTTAGATGATGCTGTTGTTTTGCATCAGAATATAGTGTTCAGCTTAGAAAAGGGTTAGAAGTATGTTGGATCAGCCTTCCTGGACTATGCTTTTGTCTTTAATTTTTTTAAGACAGCTTATACTCAACAAGTTGGTCAGCGTCAAGACTGACAGCTGGATAACCGATTAGCTATGTTCCTACCTCTCTGGAAGAGAACAGTACGCTGTGTTTGGAGGAAAATGTTCTACATCTCTACTATCTCATGAAAGTATGCCACATGGAATTGTTCCTTCGTTTCTTTTTTTCTTTTTTTATTTTCATAATCTGCCATCTTCCATAGAAAACACTTTTTTTAAGTATGTAGATTATCTCACTGTAAATACACCGATTTCTACCTGTTCACATTCCCTTGAAATAAATGAGTTCCTGTCTTTCATTGAATGATAGTCTCACACTTCATCCTTCTAAATATCAAACTGTTAACTTCAGTCAGAGACATGAACAGCATCTAAATACGCTGTTAGAATCCTATAAAGCTTGTACTATTGGAGATTCTGTAATAAAAACAGTGTCAAAGGTAATTTATCTTTGTGTAGGTTTTTACTTTGGTCTCTCTTGGTCTTCTTATGTTTTATTGATATCGAAGAAAGTTTTCTGTCCGGCTTATTATATAAAGAGGTTATATGCTTTTAGCATTACTCAAAATTCACTTTCACGATTTGTAAATTCATTCATGTCACCTATTATTCTTTACTGTTTTCGATCATTCTTTCTCAGTATTTTGAGAAAAGCTTTTGTTGTATTGCGGAGAGTGATAGAGGAAGTTAGCAGGGTTTGTTGTTATCTAATCAGATATCAACTATCCGCTTCGTTCATATCTTTCTTCTTGTATATCTTCTAGTAGAACGAGACGTCAATACATTAGAATCCATACACGCAAACAAAAATATAGAAGTTTTACAATACTTTATCTAGCAAATATAGTAATATGAAGAACAGGTTATTAGAGTTCATCTAGTCAATGACTTGTATTCTTAAACATGTTTCTAATTCAAAGACAGGCAGATTTTAATCTTTTTAAAGAAACAATCTATTTGATTCCAGGCACTTTATTTACTTAATTTTATGTATATATGTGTGCAGTTATCGTTCTTTTTCAATTTTTCGTTTTGTAAGAGAAGATGGTTGAAATAGTTTGTGCTGAAAAGTCCATATTGTACTAAATGTATCATATTGAATAAAGCCATTAATATTATTGATAGTAGTGGTAACAATAATGTAGTTTCAGTTGCAACGAATTTCCAACCACATAAATCAGCTGTTCCATACTAACCACTATTGTTCTCTTCAGCTCCAAGCGCTAATTACATTATCGTCAAACAAACTTACAGTTTGACATCTAAACTAAATAACCGAACAATATATTAAATCGTATATGTGATTATTAATGGGAGCCGACAATTAACAAACCTAAATATAATTGCTTATATCAACAGACTCCAACCATGAAAACATTCATCTATCCCAAGCGTATATCTATGAAAAAGCCATAAAAACTCCTTGAATATAATGCAAACTATTAAGTGATAGAAAGATTCACTACCGATAACTTTTCTTTCTCGATAATATTCTCGCATTGCTTGATGCATTTTAAGCAAATATGCAATAGATCACGATCAAGAGCCAACTGTGTCAAGCTCACTAGTAATTTGAATCTGTAATCGGGAAATAAACAAAGAAGCATGAATTAGAATTAATATTCAGCTACGATTTAGGTAAGTGATGAATTGATAAATAATAAATGACAAAAATATTTACCACAAGGCTAGCTATCTGCTTCAATGTGAAGGTTGGACATTAACGATTTGTAGACAGATCTATAATAGTATTAAGAAGTATCAAGCCAAAAAAAGTTTAAGTTTGAAACTCCTTTAGGAGAAAACTCAAACCTTTGGACTTTTAAAAAATGACATTTTCATTAAAGAATGTTAGGTGAATTGGGTTTATTTAAAAAAGGATACATCCCGATAAACCCATGATAATGAGCTGAGGAAGTATAAAGCACTTCCTTTCCATGATGCATTAAATAAATGTGCAATTCGACCTGAAAACAACCTCAGAAATTTCTTAGTAATTTAAACTCTGCCAACTTTTAATCATATTCATTTGGGTGAACTAACAGACAAATTAACTAACGAATGAATGAACAGCACCCTGTATGGTTTGGCAGGTGCCAGCCGAAAACAATATGTAGCTCTATTTTTGTACATCTGGTGGACAAAACCAAATTACTTACAGTGATCATTTGTATACCTCCGTTGTTCCCAATGTGGTTCGACCTCGTCCCTTACACATGATAGAATCTTTAGGGATCCAAACCTAAAATTCTATTTCCTGAGGCTCTTTGACCAGATATGACTTAAACTATTTTGATAGTTCTTTCACTGTGTGTATTTGTTTGACCTTCTTCATTCCAGTTTACATTCTTCTTTATCTGATTACCTGCATACTTCTAATTACATTTGTTTTTGATAACTTTTAGTGACTATTATTCTAATCTCCATTTACCCAAGTTTGACCTGCCTCCTATGTTAAAATATTGGTTGAACTTTCATCATTTTATTATTCTTATTACTTCTAGTACATCTATCTACGTATTGCAGGTTTGCACTTTTTACTTATTATGTGTAGTTTATGAATTTATTTAGTTACGATCACTAACTTAAAAATTGTCTTTATTGACTTCATACTTTATATAAATGTTACTGTATGCTAGAGTAAAACCTGATGACAATCTAATTGAAAACAATATTGTTCACTTTTATGTGGCCTTTATAATAATTTATGAAAAAACAGCTTATAAATCGTAATATTATTTATGTTTACCGAGTTTCAGTGGTTAAAAACTTAGGAGAAAGCACATCATCTATGATCTCCTCAGAGTTATTGATCATTTCAGTATTGTTACTACTATAACTAGTATCATCGATTGGTGAATCTCCGATGTTTGATATTTTATTCTCTAATTGTTTATCCGTTAGTAATTCGTTGTTTTCATCTTGAATTTCAAGCAGTCGTAGAATTTTCAAAAATTCTTCACTTTGTTCACTCGGATTTTTTGTGCTATCGAGGAAAACATAATCAGCGATAGAAAAACTACATTATAATCACGTTAAACATTGTTGTTTGTAATATTTTATCATTAAATATATCTTTTAAGTAAATTAGTTAGGGATTTTGGTACATTAAAGGAGTCTTTATTGTTAACCTAACTCATACGAAGTACCACACGATGTTTTAGAGTCTAAAGTAGGTATTTTCTTTTACTTGGTACAAAATGTCAATGAATTAGCAACCTCCATATCACATTGTAGATTACTTCATTATTGGTGTTGTAGGTCAGACATCATTCGCCAACTTTCTAGAAATTTCTCTGATCAGCAGCTAAATTATCGCTTGCATGCTTGGACATGTTGGATTTATTGTCGTAAGTCAATGAGGATTAGAATTTTTTCATAATCGCAAACTTGAGTAAGATTAATGTTTCGTTTATTTTATATTCTAGCCGATCACTTTAACTATATTGCACACTATTTTTTATGTAGCACTACTGTATCAGTAAATTTAACGAAACTTAATGAAGAGATCAAATTTTCGGGAATAACTTAACGAAGATTTGATAGGTCTCAAGATTCTCTACTAGCCCGATCGTTAACTCCTTTTATTAGGTAAACTAGCCACAGATAAGAAACTGTCTTATCAAGTTATATTTAAAACGACTTTATTTTTCTCTGTTAAGATCCATTAAAATAACATCTAATAGGTTAGATAATTATGGAGAATATCTGATTGTCCAAGTTATCTACACTTTCTTCACCCCATAACGGTTTTTAAGAATAATTATTTCATGTGACACTGGCTTGGTGTTCAATAAAGGATGATATTAAAAACTAAAATGTTTTACTCCAACTACGTCTGGAGCCTTTCTGGGGTTATTTTCAGTTTTAAGTCTGGGTATGAGAGAACAATTGTGTGTTGGATTATTAATTCAGCTTAGTAAAATCACTAACTGCAGAACTGCTGACAGAAGAGAATAGAATAATCTCGACTCTAGAAAGGGCATAGTATTCATGTAGAAGAGTTATCCGGCCTTAAGATGGAAGCTAGGGATCCTTGGAAGCCACAACGGCCTTCCAAATATACACAGAATTAAGAAAATACAACCTGATTTAGCTTAGAAAAAGTCAAACTAGTTGAATGTAACCTAGACTAAAAGACTAGAATCAGAAGAGTAATTTTTGAACTCCAGTCATCAGAGAGAAAATTCCATTCCTCATACGCGTACAGGGAGTTACACTGATATTAACTTAAGAGACAGAAAATTACTAATCGGATAGAAAACCCATAGCTTCGAGGTCATCAAAGCATCCTTCAATACAAAGAAGCAAAATAATGAAATGACAAGAATACGGCGGAATGAATCCACTGGTAGTTGTGATGGAGGTGAGATGTTGTAATTCACGCGACATAAATACCTGGTAAAGGGATTGACCCTCCAGATGGAAAGTCTGAATCCTCAGGTTAGTGTGGAATAAACGGAAAGTAGCAGCATGGACTGCACGAAAAAAAGTTAAAGTTGCCAACAAATAGGTTGTCTGTGATTTCAACAACGTGGTTAGGGTCAGTACCATTTTTCCCAACAAATATGTGCAGGACGCTACATGGATTTTACCAGACGATACTACATAAAAGCATATTTATCGCATCTGTGTGAAAAATACCGGAGTTCACCCAAGGTGTGAAAATATAGAGATAAACTGGTGTGGCTTTAGACTACTACCTAGTGGTGGCCAAGCTAAAACTGAAACTAAATAAATGTCGAATATATACAGGATCAAACAAACAAGGAAAGAAAAATTGATAATCGAAAATATGTGGAATACCCAACAACTATATTAAAACAATTCGAAAGAGAAGAAATATGAGAGAGCTGTGTAATACAACCAAAGAACTAATTGTTTTGATAATCAGAGATAAAAATTAAAACCGTTAATGGAACCCTGTAATAACTGAAAAGGACGACCCAGGAGAGAGTTTCTTGGCGATTCTTGGTCAGAGACCTATACTCCAAGACAGTAGTCAGTATAAATAGTTAATTTTCCTTCTAAAACTTTCATATCGTTAAAATGCTAAATAATTTGGAAGTTGATAGCATTTTGACAATTACTGTTGAACTTAACAATACTTCTTGACCATTTATGATGAGTAACATATCGGAATGACATGAGATCTATCTACTGAAATTACTACACTTATGGTTATCACGAACCCTAAAGATTCAAAAAGTATTTTTCATTTGATTCCATATTTATCAAAGCAATACACTTTCATTGCACTAGCGTTCAAACATACCTTGCTCGTAGCCTTGCTAGACGACTTGAGGGTACTATTCCAAAGCTGATTAAACTATGTGCCAGTGGTCCACTCATCGGTATATTCCGCTCTTTTGCTTGAGACACAGAAACTTTGGTAGGCTGGTTTATGGATAATTCTGTTTGATTACCACTATACACTCCAAGCGCCCAGTTTATATAACGTTCAGCGCTCGTTAAGTTGCCCCCACTGGCAGTTGCAAGAAGTTCAACCATTTGTTCAGGAACGTGACGTGCAACACCACCAGCTAACGTATCCAACAACTGACTCGCTTCCTTTCTGGATCCGACTTGTATGAATGTTTCGAGAAGAAGTCTGTAAAACAGATTATGTGGGAAGTTACCAAATAAGTGGGTATTAATAAAATGTTGTATTTAGTTTTCACTCTTTAGAAATAGTTTTGAAATCCATAGGAGTCACAAGAGATCCTATAAAAGTTTGAACTTGGTACCCTCCGGGTGGATCAAATTCAAGAGAAGTAAACACAGTCTCACTTTGGAGAAAAATTTGTTATAAGATTTCTAAACTGAATACCTGTTTATGTCAAGAGTTTGCTAAAAAAGATTTTATACAGCAGACCAAAATTATATTACTATCTAGAAACTGTCAGCCTACAACAAGCATTGAGTAAGTTTAGTTAAAATCTAAACCTTGAAAATTTCCTGCTATTCGTCGAAAAGCCTGTATAACACAAAACGGCGGCAATAGTGTTAACCCAATATTGCTTTGTTTATTAGTACGTTTTGAGTATGTGCTGTTTATAGTGAACCTAAAACAAAGCCTGAAAGTTTACATTTCTGTGCGTCGATCCGAAGTGAACATGTGATGCACAAATTATTTGATTGAAGTATTCGAATTGGAACTATCCGACAAGCTGAAATATGTCGAAGAACCAACCGCGGTAGGAGAAAAAGCTGGAAGAGAAAACATTAGACAACCGCATGGTACAACGAAGAAACTAGAAGGGAACTACAGTAAACCATAGACACCGATCACTGAGATTCAACGACAGAAAAACAGGTGTCTAGAACACACTAAAGAACTCGTGAATAAATCAGAACCATTGAACCTACGCAACATCTAAGCAGCATACACATATCTTCCTATAGATGTCACTCCACTAATGATAGAAGAAACCAGGATGGCCATCAGACAAATCAAGATCGGGAATGCAGCAGGACACGACAAAATACCACCTGAAGCAATGAAATCAAACACAAAAGTAACTGCAAACACGTTCAATTTCCTATTCGGGAAAATTCGGGAGAAGGAACAACTACCAACAGACTAGAATAAAGAATACTTCATCAAGATATCAAAGAAAGGAGATCTGAGCAAGTGTGGGGACTACAGAGGCATCACACTACCATCAATAAATAGGGGGATTTCCAACAGAGTGTTGCTGAGCCGGATGAAAGAGTCAGTAGACGCACAGATTCGAGATCAACAGTAGAGATTCCTTCTCACGTTAGTTGAGTTGATTATGAAGAGAAATCGCAAAATACAATGTACAGTTTGCATGCAACTAGACAATTTTTAAATTGCAGATAATCTATCCCTTCTATACCACACATACCAACAAATGCAGAATATGACAGACAGTATAGCAGTAGCCTCTGCATTAGTAGGCCCCAACATACAGAAATAACAGGCAAGATCCTACAATAAAACACAAAGTGCACCAACCAACCCAATCCACTTGGTGAAGAAGCCCTGGATGAAGTGGTAACGTCCACGTAACTTATCAGCATGATCAACATACACAGATGATCTATTGTAGATATGAAGGAAAGGATTGGCAAAGTAAGGGTAGCATTCCTACATCTGAATAATATTTGGAACTCAAGATAAATGTCAACGAACATCAAAGTCAGAATTTTCAATGCATACTTCAAGATACTTCCAAAATATGGAGATGAAACTTTCAGTACTATCACAGTCATCATTAAAGAGGTACAAGTATTTATAAAATGTTGTCTGCGTGAGATACGGAATATCCGTTGGCCTGACATCATCAACAACAGACTACTGTGAGAGAGAATAAACCAGCTTCCAGATGAAGGGGAAATTAAAAAAAGATATTGGAAGTGGATCGGAAACATATCGAGGAAATCATCAAACTGCATCACAAGGCAAGTCCTAACGTGATATCCTGAATGTAAAAAGAGATAAAAACCAATGAACAGACTGGGTTGCGAATCGGATGCAGACATCGAAAGAATGAATAGCGACTGTAAAGTATTGCCCATGGTTGAGTTTGATGGAGTTCAGTCTATGCTGCTCCAAGAGTGGAGAAATGCGTAATTAATTAAGCAAATGAGCAATGTAAATCTCACATTTCTCTCTTGAAGGATGAAGAAATATTGTATGAAAATTTCAATATCTACAAAATTTAACTGCCATGCTTACTTAAAAGATGATATTCTCAGAAGTAGTGTCGTTATTAAAGTAGGTCTTACACAAGCTAAACACCAATTTTGTAATGACTTCGAATAAACAAAACTATTTTGACCAAGAGGATACTGTTATAGTCACATTCCAACAGTTTAATGAAAAAATAATTACTTAAATATAATCGGCCAAACACTTCTCACTTTCCAACTCTTTGTGCAGTTTTGTAATTCACTGAGATGAGCAAACTAGTGACTGACCGAAAATTTATTGTGGAAAACGGTATTACAAGAGATTCTAAGACATATTTGAAAAAATGGCTCTAATCCTATAATTAGCTGAAAATGGAAAACTGGTTTCATTAATCAATGAAATAGCTATCCTTAAAAAAAATTCATTATAAGAATGTTTTTGTTTGAAAAGATTTCATGTGCTTGAGCAAAAAATGCACACAAGTATAGTTTGAACAGTATGAAATTCTCACATTCCAAAACGTAGTATAAAAGAGTGATCTTTAATATGCATATCCATCAGTAACTTCAACTTCGGCCTTAAAAAGAGAGGTAGTTCTGCTCTCTTGAACAATGTTGCTTTCATTCGTACAAACTTGTATAAAAGAATCAATAAATTATTGACAATAATTTGGTGATCACTCTCAGTGGCAAAGTAAATCGATTTTTCAACGTGACCCATGGCCAGACCTATCGTGCTCTAAAACTCAATATTATTTTATATTAAATATTACAATAGAAAATTCACTTTTCTGAAACAATATTTCGGCGAAAATTAATGACACTAGATCTGAAAATTCATTATTACCACCAAAAACACTCTCAAAAATATTAATGACAGAAGTGGTGGTACCGCTTAGCTTTGCCTGAAAAGCAAATATAGTAAAATTGAAAATTATACATAGCTTTATACCTCAGCAGCAACTACAGCCAAATGTAATATATCATGGCTTGTATAGGCAAAGTTCTTCCCAGGTTTCCATGAGTTGGACGCCAAATTCAATAACGTGAATGCTCTTTCGACATGTATCACTGAAAGATAAATAAATATGCAACATTTACCGTTTTTATCTTCCAAATACAAATGTAAACATTCTTGTATGCTATCCGACATTTCTAATATTTGCCAGAGTCAGTTGTAGAAGCAAAATAAGGTTTTCAAACGTTCAAACAAATTATCAATCATTATTCTAAATCAAATATTATCGATTTATGACCAATGACCCACTGTGTATTTACAATATAACTATATGAATAAGGTGGTAGTTTTGTAGAATGTTAGTTAAATGGATCTTGGTTCCTCCCCCACAATCACGATTATTTGGATCTTTGACAATGTTCGAATTTTGGCAACAGCTCTACACGCCACACCTTCCTAATCGAAGTATATCAGTCCACGTCAACTCAGAAGTCAGAAATGGAAGGGTTCGAATATATATTTAGAAGGCCGACGGTATGTCTAGAGGCGGTTGCTGAATAGTTATTACAAGGGATGCTTAACACGGCGCACCAAATCGTGATCTAGCGCAGATGTGTGACCGAGTGCCCTTAGCTAGAGTGTATTTAAAGTATTAATGAGGTTGGTATCAGTGTTGAAGAATGTATAACTTTATTTTAGAAACTTATAGGCCGACACTATGAAAACATCGATAGTTTATCAGTCACTAGTAGCCGAACGCAATCGTTCGACCATCACTTCCCGTCTAGTACTAAAATCCTTACGACAATAACTTTTACTTCGAATGCCAAGTGTTCGTGAATTCCATGTTTTTACCTGGTCTTAGAACTCTCTTCTGATTTCTCTTCTCTCTCTAGAAGATTCTACATCACATTAATTGCTCTACACACTACTGTAACACAAGGTGCTTTTTGCCTTGATCCAAAACTAATAAAGGCTGAACGTTACGCACCAGAGAACAGTACAACTTGACATGAGACTCTTATTATTTTCTTCGTATCCAATAAAAAGGTCGTCGGTGAAATACGTCCTTCCTACCGACCATCAATTTCTTATACCCTTAAAGAAAGCGATCATGTCTGATTCGGTCGAAACGTGTGTGTCATTTTAGTCATCAAATTAAACACCCGTTAGACTGCAAACATTAAAAAGTTCAAGACACTTCTTCAAACGCCATGCTCAACGGTATCACAATCAAGTTCTGCCTTTTTTAACTGAGGTAAAACACCTAGTCTAACTGTTAGCCGCTTAACACAAAGGTGTTTATTTTTAACCGTAACATTTGTAAGGAAGTTTTGTTCGTAATTTGTGAGAAAGTGAAGCTATTAGTTTTCATCTAAGCAATAACTTGAATGTAATTAATATTATGAAGGAGTCTTTTTTTTAGCTGTTTGTGACATTTAAATATAAGTATTTGAAAATGTGTTCCAAAATTTTACGAGTCATTTTATGGGAAAATAGAATTCCGACGGTCTCAATATCTTGCATACAAGTATGATAATGAGAGAATATCTTAAAGCTGGAATAACAAAATTTATCTTTATTACTCTTTTTCTGTTTTTTATATTATCTTAAACGTAAACTTATTCCATGGATTCAGAGTTAGTTGAATTCTTAAGCATAATTTATTTATTCTTACCTTCTGACTCATTACATATAAATGCCCCGGAAAATCCATCCCATAACATTTTTTTATTTGTCTTTTATTACCACCTTCACACAACCGAGTTGGTCTACGTTTGATGCTCGAAATTAATTAATTAATTATATTTCATCATCATTGTCATTCGTGGAGTCAACAGAGGGCAATAAAGATACAAACTGCAAAGCCACTCTGGCAAGCGCAATTGTTGGCAACAAAGTTTGTTACCTTAAAAGCCCTGGCGTATTGTTCATGATCATTTGAGAGGACATTCGAAGAAAGTCCAAAAACCGAGATCAAACCGTTTACGTCTGGAGTTCCGTTTCTCTCACCGAGTAGCGAATTACTGGAATTCTCTACCGGAACACGTAATATCAGCACCGTCCGCTAATATATTCAAAGCGAGATTGGACCCTCACAGTATTACAAACTGCAAGGATTAATATAGGTCGACAGACCTCCTATCCTAATTACTGAAGACTGATAAGTGTTTTCTGTATGCTCGCCTCAGGAAACAAAAAGTCATAACTCATGGGTTCAGGTGAATGACTTTTGTATTCAAGAGTTACGATGTGGTCTGAGACTAATTTAGTTATTATGTTCCTAAATCATATAAATCATCATATATTTACAGGTTTAATCGTGAATTGAGGTAGGCCGTTAATACACAAGTAGAGTATGCACGAAACGTAAGACCTTTAGGAGTTCACAGATCTTATCCAACAGTGTTTATTCAACCACTATCGAAGCTGTTTATTTTGCAGGATTTCTTTTGTATTTCAGATTTGCACTTTATCAGGAGGTGGGTTCATAAGTACAGTGTATTGGAAGCTTTTAGGATATCTTCTTATCTTCGTTATTGAATTTTAAACATCTACAGTATTGTTTGGTCTATTAAGCCTTTATTCTGCAATCAAGTTTTCAATGTAAGTGTTGCTATAGTTGACTTTCAGGGTTCACACATCTGACATTGACAGATGTTTCGAAAATCTGGATCCCTTGCTGAAGAGAACCTCTGAATTACTATGCAAGATCAAGTACTGTATCTATTTTTTCATTTCCATATAATATTACCCTAACCAGTACATTCACATGTTTGGTCTGTCATAAGGTTGCTTTGAATTAGATTCACATACCCAAAAAATAAAGTCTGCTGCATAAACAAGTGATATCTTTCACAGCCGTATACTTTTGAAAGACGGTGCTGAATATCTTGTAGATTTTGAGGTTAATGTTGTCAAGAAAACATTGTCAGAAGGTTTTAATTTGCCTAAATCTGTTTGACCGATAGTTTTATCGACAAATAATGTCTTTCAGGTGAATCGCTAGTAAGGCTGATACTAGTATGAATAGCTTGTAATGATGGGGTATATTTCTGAGATGTCCGTCGTATACTTTGATCAGTGTTGATTCATAACTTTGAACTACTACTCACAGCGTTTACAGACTAAAAAACAATTCAGCTGATCTTTAATACTGTCATATTATTAATTAGGGTTTTATGGTTTGGTGATGACACATATTTTGATTTTACTGAAACGTAAGATTAGAACTGAAGTCTATAGATATTTCTCAGTTTTTCGATGGGGTCAAATGATAGCTGATGAGGAATTTGAGTTATTGACGTAAATCTTGAAATAGATTGTTATCAAAAGTCAAAACAACCAAATAACAGGATAGGTCTTTTTATGTCGTAGAGTAAAATTCCTAAATACCGAATATTAGGTTCAAGATATTCACTTAATTGTGGCACTGAACAAACGAATTATTGAAATATATGAATTTCCTAAGTCACTCATACATCAACGAAATAAATACACCAATTGTAGACCTAATTATTGTTTAACTATATCATCCCATTCTTTGTGCTGTGCAGAATATAGCAGCCAGTATCGCACGATTTCTTCGGATTTTATGCCAACCTAGGTTTTATTTGCAGCTGAAGATGTTTAGTGCCCCTAAAAGACGACTTCATTGGCTTCCTGTCGGGTGATTTAGACACGATATGTGAACATTGTTTACTTCGGTTGCTTACGTTAAATTATGGCAGCTTACAACTTTTGGGTTTCAACCGGATATCCCATGTTTAGTTGCTACGCTAAATAATTACTTCTGAGTAACTGATTAGTATAACTAGTCATCACATACGCAATGCTGAGTATGTTAAATTTTACTCGATAAACGAGTTCCCTGGGTGTTATTTGACTGATTATTACGTATGAAAAAAACTGAGATGTTATGTCATGTATATTAACATGCTCCCGTAAAATAGCTGATTAATTTATTCCTCTTATAAATCGATTTAATGCTTTTCAAATTTTCCACTTACTGCGTGACATCATTCGGGATCAAATAACATTATTTATCTCTTATTTTGTGCTCAACTTTCATTATTCATATTGTTTATTTTCCCTATTTAAGTTACTTGTTTAAATAAATCTTCAAATTCCAATTTCTTACAAGCAGAAATGAAGGTGTTCTAACTAATTCTCATCACTCCGCTCATCAGCCTCGCCGTATTGATCACAATCTTGCTCATTTTACTACAGTAGACCAAAATCCAGTGGACTATGATTCAAGAAATTTAAAGAATGTCAATTCAGTTGAGAAATCCTGTTTTCATAAATATGAAAATGGATTTGCTTTGTCGGAAAATCAACACCTCCCCACAACAGTTAAAATTTTTGCCTCAGCTGCTCCGCTAAACTCTGAAGAATCTTCCTTGCGTATAAAAGATAATTTACGCGACTACCAATCGAATACTGAGAAATTGATCGCTGAATTGAAGCAGTCAAACGATCAAGTAAATACTATCTCCATAGTTCCACTCATAAGTATTGATGCAGTAAATGTGTAATTATTTTTGTAGGATTAAGTTTGCAACAATTGATTTTAGAAAGAATATTCCAAACTGAGCAACCTAAACCCCATTACAATAATTAATTATTTTAGGTTGCTATACTTTTCAGTCAAATTATTTCAAGTGCAACTGGGTTTTTCTATAGCCTTCAGAATACCAAAACTTATTATTCGATGCTTAATGACGATGTATACGAGATTATATGTGACATCTAGTCTACCTAAATAGTATCTCCCGTTATCTACGTAACATATTTTTCTTATTCCTCAAAACTGTACAAGTTGATGCAATTCCTTAGGTAAAATAAAGGGAATGTCCCTTCCAGCTGTAAATATCTTAGTCTCTATTAATCATATTCAAAATAAGTGTAAGGATGATCCTAGAGTTAAATTAGTCTATTAACTTAGTTATTAAACCCTCGAATATTAAATCGTTTATTGTTCTAGACGTCCAATAGTTTTTGTGATACATCACAAGTTCATACCTTTCTACCCCTACCGAATCTCATCCCGTCAAGAAGTATCACTCGCTCTCACAATATATGATCCATACATTCTTATGTGACTCACTGTCAATTTGTTGGTTGTCTGGATTTAAATTATCTTACTCTAATTTGAATACCCGAATGTGGGATAGATAGACTTGATAAACCTGATGTATGAGTGTCCAATAAAAAATCTTGTACGTATTTAATTCACATAATTACCTGAAAAAAGTGTGGATTTAGAAATAAGTTGACGTGGACACTACACTCCAAAATACAGCGTATAAGAGAAAGATCATTCTTTATTTTGCATATTAATTTAAGGTGGTTTTAGTTCAGTCAATTTCAACGCATCTTCATTATTTCTATTCATTAACTTTCAGTGTATGTCAGTTTTATCCATCTTTATGATTCGCACTGCGTTTTCCTTCCAATAGTTATCTCACTATGATTTTGCATCCAGTAACAGTAATACAGTTAATAGAACCCTGTAATTAATAATCACTGACTTAATATATAATTAAAGTAACCTAGACATAATATCGACCTTCTGTGGTCTCATTCAGTAATTACGAACTTTTCAGAACTGTTTATTTTCTTAACAGAATTCTTCTAGATTTCGAGAATATTAATTGTATATAAATTTTCACACCAATCAGTAAATCAATCAAATGTTTGGAGTGGCCGTTTTTATTTATTTATTTCGTTATCTGCAGTGGATGAAGCTCATTTTAGAATGCTTAATGTTCAAATATATGTATCTCCTATTTTATAGATAAGAAATCTTGAAAAATCCTTATTAGCAAAACAGTCGTCGATTAATGAACTTTCTATTGAATTGGAGCGTAAAACAGCTCTTGTCAATTCTTTAACAATAGAGTCTTCAACAAAAGATATTTTATTGCGTCAGTTAGATTCAACTTTAGGTCGTTTGACAAGAGGTTGGAAAGATAACGAGGCCAAACAAGATCTTGCTATAAAATTAGCTAAAGAGTCTGAAAATAGAAAAGATAAAGAAATAGAAGAACTTAAGAACCAATATCAATCAGTTCGTGCTCAGTAAGTTCTATAGTTATTATCGATAATTAGTTTAAACGAATGGTGATGAAATTTTTAAAAACATGAAGTCTGACTTCCTTTAGAGCTAATTGTATGCACATACTTTTGTATTTTCAAAAACGTTTATTTACCTATCACTCAAATTTCGTTGATCTTGCGAATCTGTATACCTCAGTAGGATGATGCTATATTTTCATTGGTTTCAAAGCTTTTCTAGTAAAGCAAATCCTGGTTCATTTACCATTTATCCTTTTTTCTATGAGGTAAAGTTGCGTTCTGCATTTAAAAAATTGTTTTTAAAAAGGTGGCCAGTTAGACATTATACTAAAATACTTTGTATATCTATATTCCATAATCTTTTTTATTACGGGAATTTTTATTAGCATTGGATAAACATAATTTAAGTCTGTTACTCGATGACTTCAATCTTCAACATATGGACTATTAACACTATCCTATTTATTAGTACACAAATCACATTTTGATGCCACATTGTTTGGATGAAAGCTCCATAAAGGTCGTCAATGTATGACGTGGTGTTTTGATATGAAGAGAAGCCTGCTGGATACATGTCAGTTAATGTACGTTGACTCTTTGATAAGAGTCCTAAGAAACCATACAACGGACTGCTAGAGGCTTTACTAAATACAATTTGGAATATGATACACCGGTGATTCAACAACAGTTTCCTCTTGTCGTTTACTTCAACTTAAGTGTCAAACCAACATAAATAACTTTTTATACTAGTACAAACCTGTTAGCACCTAAGTTTACTGCGATTCACATCAGTACAACAAAATAAAAATAAAATAATTAAGAATAGTGTTATCAACAGTAGCGGAAACATAAAAGGAAAATGAAATAAGTATGCAGTAACATTACATCCAATCGATTTATCAACCTAACATAATACTGAAGGCATACTATCATCACTAATTACACAATTATTGTTTCAATATTTCAACACTGAAACACTCTTTCTTTTATGCTTCTTTACTGTAGTTTGTCATTAATAATTCAATAATTAGTAGTTGACTTTGAAATATAGCAGTATATAAGAAGGTTGTTTCCATCCAACAAGTTTTGTTTTGTAATACACATTGATTTTAAAATTTAAATATCAAATCGGTAAAACTGATTTACTCAGTTTTATTATTGTTATTATTGGATAGAATTTATCAATATTCATAGAAACGTTTTCGTATCTATTCTATAAACAATAACTACTACGAACTGTTTTTTTTTCCTTTTATTTAAATATCTTATTTATTATAAAAAAAATTATAATGGACACAATACCATAAAAGTGTATATTGATATATTTTTTGTACATATATATGATAATACAGAATTGCGCGGGCATTTGTTTACGTTTTAACCGGTATCTTGGATACATTGTATGTTTACACACATAACTAACTGGCTAAATAAAATGAAAGGTGTTGGATACTCATTTTAGCAATAGCTTGAATATCTTATTGGTAGATTACTTTTTGTCAGTGATAATTATTTATGTTTTATCTTTATTGACCTTTAGGGGTTAAATGGTGAAGAATTGAATTTATTATTAAAAAATTAGAGATTGGATTGAAAAGTTTAACTATGAAAAGTTCACCCTGCCATATATTTGATTGAAATATTTTAGTTCCTATAATAATTTGCTTGGAAAATACATCAACGCTTGTATAATAGTTTAAAAATCCCCATAGAATATTCAAAAATGAAGAATATTTGAGCGAACAATTTTTTTCAATAACTTCATCATCAGGCTCTGCGGTTATAAGTTCATAATTATAATATTTTACAAAGGCCAAAAAATGAGGCATGTATTAATGAATTTGACAATGTTACGTGTTAAAAAAAAGTTATGTAATAAATCAATACTTAAACGTAGGTAGGAATAATTTTTAGGATTAATATAGTGAAACGCTAGGTGCTTGGAGGTAGTCAGCTGGAAACTTATCTTGTCCTAAGTGTTGTGCTAGTCGGCACTCGTCAGCGATGTACAAATGTGATCTTTTGGGAACTGTTACTCCTTGTAAGATTTGAAAGTTGGTCACTTAGTTTCACAGTATGAGACATCGATAAACTGAAGAACTAGACCAGTATGACATTGGCTACGACTTGGTGACCGGTCAGTTGTGAATATAAATTCTATGCTAGTGAAGCCTAGTTTCTTAAACCAAAATTGTAGAGCCTCTTTTAATATTAAAGACTTTGTTGAACAAGAGTTTTAAAACTATTCAGCATGTCCAGAATGATTAACCAACGGTAGTCAAAAAAGACTTTCATAGTTAAGCTGTCGCGTACTGGTAATTAATCACTGTTTTTAATGATTCATAATGATAATGATAATACACAATATTCTCAATATCTTTTATATTCAGATGGGATGAAGAGCTGAATTCAATAAAATCAGAGCATCGATTAGAGAAAATGTCTTTAGAAGAACAATTATATCAAATAACTAGTAAATGTAAACAATTAGAAGGAAACAATACAGATTCTTATAGAACTATAGAAGAATTAAAATGTAAAATTAAAAATTATGAACAAAATTTACATGAATATCATATAAAATTAACAGAACAACAAAATGGATCAAATTTAATGATTAAAAAATGTGCCAAATTAAAAGAACATTGGCAAAATCAATTAAAACATTATAAAGATTCTATAAGAAAAAGTTTAGAAATGAAAAAAGATGAAATATACAAATTTAAAGAAGAAATTTCTAAATTAACTAAAAAATATGAATTAGAATTTCAAGATTATCAAAAACAAATTGATTTAACTGTAGAAGTATGTATTTATATACGTTTATTAAATGTTTTATTGTTTATGATGAAAATCACATAAATTCTCATGATAAACTCAATCTTCATTCCCAGTATTCCTTACTACATACTTTACTAATCTGTTGTTGTTTTTTTTTAAAGTATATTCTCAATAGTCATTATTTATCGTTAACATTGCCACTATATTCTTTCGATGTATTTTGCTATTCATCTTGTTAGTTCAATGGCGTTGCGCTAATCCAGTGTGACAAATTTAGCCAGCTTGGATCTATGCCATGCTTTATGCGACTGGTGAACTAACTTTATATTTTGATATAATAAGAAGTATTAATTTAGTAATTGGGGCAATTTTAAATGTGAGGAATCCCCATATTTTAAATTAGGACAACACATATAAGTGATCAATATTGTTTTCAAATAAAATCATCAGACTTTATTCTAGTATTCACTAATATTCATGTGGATGTATGAAAATATTGAACTAATCAAGGCATTTTTGAGTCAGTGATAACAACGAAACAGGTTACATAACTAAACATAATCATTAATCGACAAACTGCCTTGATTTATTTAATATTTTTATATATACATATAAATGTTACTGTAAATCAGTGTAAAGCCTGATGAGGATTTAATTGAAGAAGATATTGTTCACTTACATTTACCGTTCTAATCTCTGAGTGATAGAGAAAAATTATTTGGTTATTGTTATTCCTCAATTATAGAAAAATGAAACCTGTTCTCTAGGAAATGAATTTCTTTCGACATTAAAGCAGTTTCCTAGTATGGGTAGAGCGACCTGCCTTTAACCGAATGATTCATATTAGCAAAACTCAGTTTAATACCTTTGGTTTCGACCAAACGGATAGTATACAATCGGGGGCGACCAGTGTCCTGTCTGTCTCGTCCTTTGGCGCTGATCGAATTTTACCAATTAAGTCGCAGTGTGGCACTAGTTTGTGCTACTCAAAATTGGGCGCCCTATGTCGAGATGTTAGATGGTTGAAAATAGTTGACAGAAAACTGTCCTTCATCTGTGTTTTAAGTTGGTTTGCACTCATCGCCAGGGTGTGCCCGGAGTCTTGAGGAAACTAATTATATTTGTTGTATTCTAACCCGAGTCACCCGCTCCCACAGTCTGAGACATTACCACTGAGCTGTTTGGTATACAAGTGTATATTATCACTAGGCCTCATACAAAAAGTGGCCTAAGGTTAGGTTCATAAAACCTGCACTTGATAGATCAGTTTATACTGAACCAATGAAATGCATCAACGGTTATATTAATGAAAACAAACTCTCAGTAATTTATTTATTTGAATTGTAAGATATCTTATTACCATTAAAAAAGTTGTACAAATGATTTTCCAAATTCAACCTCTTTATCTATATTGAGTGATAGTCAAGAACTGTAAGACTAACAGCATTATCTAAAGTCCGAGAAAGAAGCCGTTCTGTTGAAGGTAATGAGGTGTTTGCTCAAGATAATCAGCACCTGGAACCATTCTGCCTTCTCATAACGGAATGGAGGTGTTCAAACCTTGATTGAAAACTTCTCGATATTGCATCATTCTTGGAGTGTATAATATTCATCGTTCTTTTCCAATTATATTCCTTCCTTTTCTGCTTAACATATATTTCTTATGCCTTAATTAATCACAGCAAAGAATTCGAGAGCAACTAATAGCCTATGAACAAAAAATTCAAGAAAATGCTACACAAGCTGAAGAAACTCTACGTAACAAGTTACGAGAAGCGTCAGATCGTTATAGACTAGATCTTGATCAATTACGGTTGAATGCTGAGACAGAATTATCACGACAAATGTCTGAAACCGAACATCGTATTGAAGTTGAACGTAAACGTGTACAAACTGCAGAGAAGCAATGTGAACACTGGCGTATCAGAACAAGAGAGGCTGAAGAAGCAAGGTCTGCATTAGCTCTTCAGATAAATGAGTTGTTACAAGCCCGCTGTACCGAAGCGATGCAAGTAATTGAAACAAACAACTATTTTGCTTGTAGGTAGTATTTGTCTTAGATTATTCAGATTTAGGGTACTATTGATGTACGAAAAATACCAACTACAAATTAAACCCCTTCAAATAAAGGAGACCCGTATTTGGAAGAAACAGCCATTGAATCCTCCCTGGTTTTAATGGTAACCCTAATGGGATCAATCTGTAGCAAGTATTATTTGCAAATTAAATCGTTTCCCATAACAGCCTTTCAAATAAATTTTGCATTTAATAATTAATCTTGCCACACTATTGATTATAGTAAAGGTACACTTAAAAGTAAACTACGCAAATTTGCGTTGTATTAAACAGTCAGTGTAGCTTGTGTGGTTCTTCACCTTCTTACTCATTGATACTGTTGTGTGCATACTAATTCTTAGTTGCATCATGAAATGTTTCACCGGTTATCTGTATACTAAACTTAATTTCGCTTGTTACGACATGGAATATCCTTCTAATTTACCATAATCCGCCTAATAAACATACTAGGCTTTGTAGGTATATGATGATCAAATACATCAGCACAAAAACAATACTAAGCAGCTGGAAATTCTTAGGAAATTTCATGAAATTCGCTTAGCCGTTAAGTTGACATATGAGGGAGAACATGAAGATAAAATACTCTACTTACAAAGAAAGCCAGCGAATTAATAAGAAAGAGTGTGGATAAAAAAGCACTTGGACAGAAAACTACACACACTGTAATGAATGAAGACTTGGGTAGGGTAAACGAATATAACACCACACACTCCATTTGTAAGATATGGAAAAAAATGTTGAAAACACCATTTGCACATATCCGTTGACTTTTCTCTTACAGGCTCCATCTTTTTTTCATTCCTGTTGCTATTTGAACTGCTTTAACTTTTTCTGTCTTCTCATATTCCTCATAATTCTACTTCCGATTATTGACACATACTACTTATATCTATCCGTATAAAAGTAGCACGCACCAAAACACTTAGCTTTACTCGTATGGAATGCAAAGGAAATCCGATAAAGAATCTTAGTTACAGAATAATAGTCATCGGCTCTGTGAATACTATTGAGTTGAATATTTTACGTGACTTACCTAGGAGGAATGGATACTGTAAAATGTTTACAATCAGACACATAGCCACAAAATACAGTAATAGGATGTTCAAACAATCAATAATACATCACTTTTTATAGGCCTACATTTTAGAAATGACGAACCTAGTGGAATTTCAATTTTAGAAGTTACATAAATCAGCTTAAAGAATATTCAAAGCAGAGAAACTACGATATTTTCTAAGCATCCAATGGTGACTGCAGGGTTGAAATATAGATTACTCACACTAGTCACCTTATTCTGTATGTCATTTTAGCCGCTCTTGTTGATCATTTTATGTTCAGTTATGCGCTATCAATTCATTCAACCGTATTCCAGAACACTGGTTGTGTAGTTATGATTGTTAATAATTCTATATTATCATGGCTCAAGCAAAATATAAAGCTAACATTAACTAATCATTTTAAATAGTCTATGATATCAAAAGTACTAAGTTTTGTTTCGTACCGCATAAAAATCATAAGGCAAGGTTATAAATCTAATCTGAAATGGAAAGTCTATAAATATCCTTGACTTAAGAAGATACAGGGATATACATGCATCAAAATAACAGTAGAACTTCAAATAAACTTAAAAGTAATCATAGTCCGCAAGGTTAATCAATAAGCACTCAGAGCATATTCAACACAAACACTTGATCTTTTCCTCTCAATAAGCAGTCCTCTCTTTTCCAAGTTACATAAATATCAACAAGCTTAAAGCATAGAATTTTTATTTTTGTTTTTTTTTATCAGAGAATGACATTTCGATCATCGTGCACTGATTGAGTGTCTAGTTATGTTACGTGTTATTAAGATTATTAGTTAGATAGGTCAGCTCAATATTTAATAAATTGATCTAAAACTCGAATATCTCTACTACTCAGATCAATCTAGATTTACTTAACGTGTAAATTCTATTTCAGTTTAGTATGAATAAAAACAATTTTCTTACTATGTAGTGTTAAAATGATAGTCGTGAATCCCTTCATTTACCAAAATTCTACTGTCGTAAAATATTGGAAAATATACATTTGTAATAACTTGATTTTTTATAACTGAAGCATAGTAACTACCTATTCCGACTATTCTCATCGTCTTCGACATTTCACTATCTTAATGAACACTTGTGAAATATATCACGTTTTAAATATGAATAAGGTTTAACAAATAAATCTATGCATATTTGCTGCATAATTTAAATTTTTTTGTAATAATTCCATATATTTATAAATAAAAATTTGTTTTCCACTCCATATGTAGATGCTTCGATCTAGTTCAACCACTACACTCCTAAATATTCCTATTACTCATAGTTTTATGGGTAATAATATTGGTTCAAATATACTGACTGATTTTGATCCAAGTGATCATAATCTGAATAAGCAGAGTCCAAAAGATAGAAATGAATCGGAAGAAGAACAAGATCTAAGTATATCGACAGTGCATACATTCGAAACTCAAATTCTGTCACGTATTGATTCGAATGGACAAGATGATATGGAAAGTGCTAACATATTGGATAATCAACAAATATGAATCTAAATTTTAAACTTAACTGGTTTTATCTGTGATGTACTCGTTACATAACTTATTACTATTGTGCATATCAGTAACATAACACTTTGTTTTAACATTTGTGTAATATTTCTGCCAGTTAGACCGGTGCTATTTCGATCAATCGTGAATAAATGTGGATTAGAAAACTTCTGTGTGTTGTTAAATGTCGATAAAAATAGTTTGTGATTTATCTTTTAGTCAAATTAGCACATTCTTACAAAACTGATTCAACACAAATGCATGTCATATATTTTGCTATTTTGTATTGATGATATAGTTTTAAATCGAATACCCAAAAGTAGTGAAATAAGTATGGGACAAGTCATCCTCAGCTTATTTGGGAAAATCCTATCTCGACACAGGTTCTTCACTTTCAGTCATTACTTCAGTGCGCAAAACTCATCCTGTTAAACAAGAATACACTAAATTAATCTGATTGGCAATTCAGGTTGATAACTTTTCAACATAGTTATTACTGTTAGCTACATTTTTAATTTTTTTTTGGTAGGATTGTAGTGAACTAAAACTCAGGTTGGGATAACCAATTTTTCGTTTGATGATAAATTACATAGTATCTTCGTAAATTATGAAAACCATACATTGAATACATCATTTGCACATCTTCCACCAGTTGTCTCTTACAAACCTCATCGTTCCTTTATTCCCGTTGTTATTTTGATTTCTCTAAGTTTTCTCTCCTCTTCATTTCAATTCTCTCAGTCTTCTTCTCGCAGGTATTCCACTTTCGATTGGTGCTACATATTACTATATCTGTCAACATAAGTAGCATACACTGCATGATTGGTACTTAAAATAAAATTAAAACTCTTAATGATAGCGAAGAAAACTAACAGACGTTCGGGTGACTTTTCCTTTGTTTGCTAGGAAATCGTTCCCATCCTTTTTAATTAGATATGTGTCATACGTAAATAGGATTAATATCATGTTTCAAAGTGATTATATTTTAAACAACAGCATAACTATTCTATTCTGTTCAATAATTATGTGAATTCAGGTCATTAAAGCTATTTCACAGAATTTGGGATACATCATTTCCATCGTTAGAAACATTCCTAGATGTCGTCAGAAGTCAAGCTTGTCAACCATCTCATCAATTCAAACTTCTCAGCTCCATAAGTTTTGCCAAAATCAAATGAACAGACAATTTTCCTGAATCCAGTCCATCAAAAATAACTTAAACAGTGAATCGGCTTTCAGAAGAAACAGTAAATCACACTTGTTCTATCTTTTCATCCGCTAAGAGGTTGACGGTGATCCTGGTCTTGATCATATTTATAGTCTTCATAGACCTCACCGATACCTATGATTCATCTGAAAGAAGCCAGTTTTTCCAATCTATTACCTTCATGAATAGTTCTTGACATTTTCTAGATTTTCTGGTTTTCCGAAGTTTCACTAACAACTTTAGTAATTCAGTTTCCGTATTTATAAGACAGACCACGCTCTCTATCAGTTAGAATTAATTTATACTTGACGTGAAAAGTAGTAAATCTCTTGTTAATTGCATTAATTTGCATCTTCATGTGTTCAAACAACATCAAAAGTTGTACCTTGTTTTGAAAGAGAAAATATAACATTTATTCTATAATTTGGTGGATTAACAGATAATCCATACTTCATGAACTACTACAAATTTACTTTGAAACATAAGGCAGTATGTCTTCTAACATCGATAATAATCAATTTACACATTGTATTTATCATTATGTCATCTTTCCTGAAACGTAATCCAACAATAAACATCTATACCGATAAATATAATCAGTAAATTAAGATTAATTAAATAAGTATAAAATATTATTTTTATATACCGAAAATATAAAGGGCTGTATAAATCAGGTGGATTGTTAAAAATACTTAGGGTTCGCTTATTATTACTATGCAGAATTTGCAAGGATGTTGCGAAATATATACTAACCAAACTGGACCAACCTGGTTTATAAATGCTAAAGAGAAAAGAAGATACCTAGATCAGAATCAAATCAGGTAGACGAATGAACGGGACGCACAGATAAAATTAATTATATGCTAAGCGATCTTACGAAAGAAAAAAATAGTGACAAAATAAAAGTCAAGGGAGACGCAGAGAAATGATCAATTTTCTTAGAAAACTGAAAAGACAGGGGACAAGTTTACCGGATTTCCATTATTCACCTAAACCTGTATCAAACTCATTAAAACCCTATGATCCACATAAACTTCACAAGTTTGGACTTCCTTTTCATCGTTTTAGATAATGTACAATTCTCCATATCACAAAATTGTAGTGGCAAGTTTGAACCTCAGCATAAATCAGCCGAAAATAAAAGCCCTAAAGTTGTTCTGGGTTTCATTTGAAAAGGGGAAGATATGAACGTTATCAGAAAGCATAATCTCTCTAAATATCACATTTTTATTTGCCAATGTACCATTAATTTATTTCATATGCAGATAAGTCTTAACGTTGGAATTCCTGAAGATATTCGTAAAGAATTACTCTCTAGATGTGCACTAAGGATCCCATTCTTTCTCCAACCAAATTCGTTATCAGCAAATTGATGTAATAGCTATGACATCATATTTAGGCCCAATCTTAGCTTCTTTCTAGCCAAAGTAGAAAACAGACTCTTCAAGGAAGTAATTGGAAATTTAGATTTATACTGCCTTTATATTGACGATGCATTCATCATCGATCACAATATCAATAAAGAGAACTCCAAAATCAGTGCACACTAGGCAATCACATTCACTTGTGTAAACGAGTGTAATATTAAGTTGCATTTGATCAACATGTCATCAAAAAGACGGCAAGTTAAGTCGATAAGTGTGTGTAAAAAGTTTTGTATCTCACTACACAAAACCCCTTTAGTTTCATATCTGTTTACTACAAAAAAAAACCTGGTTAGACGTTTTACAAGCAAAGGAAAAAAATCTGGTCATATAACGCCATAAGGCAGTTGGGGTTCATCAGTGATATGCTGACTGAAATAGACAACTCAAGTTTTTTGAAGAATGTGTACAAAGAAACAAAGCTCTTCCTAAAACTGCAAATGGACAGATATATCTACCAATGTCTAACATAATATACTAGTTAGGATGGTTAAACAGGTTTATGTATATCATTTTCAAGTCGACTAGTGATGTTTGCTTAGACAAATAATAAGTTACCTGCTTTTGGGATTTTGATGTATATTTACCAATTCGGCTAATCATATAGTGAAAGCTATAACGGGCGTACTACTAGGCAGCCTGACCAGCGAGTAAGTGAACGTCCCCCTACGTAGTTTGGATAGGGTAGAACAGTCACTAGGCAGCTTCTTTTATCACGCTTGCTTGACGGTGGTCATATTACAGATAAAACTAAACCATTCCGAGCTGTAGAGATTTAGGCTTACAACCTTGGTCACTGTGTCGCAAAAAATATTTTAACACCCCTATCCCCTCCACCAAATAAGAATTAGTAGACGAGCCTACTAATTATTCACACTTTGTTTATTTTTCACCATCACTTTTATACTTCTTTAATTAAACACACTTATTACGTAATTTTCAGTGTTATTTCACCAGATTTTATTTCCCAGTTTTACCCTATTTTCTATAGTGAAATACTTATTCAAACTTTTATTACTTTGATTATTAAATACTAAGTGAATGATACGATACAATTGGCTGTTATTGTTGACTGAAAAAGTAACAGATGAGTAGAAATCATTTGAATCTTTCAAAACTCATCGATAAATATAACACAACCATTGTATTGGTAAATATTTATTTCTATTATATTTCAATAAAAGTTATTGACCTACATAGAGTGAATTCATATTGATCTTTTATTCAAAGTAAATATGAAAAAGATCAACATTATTGGTTTAAGTAAATAATGATGAACTCAATCTACAATAAGGTTACCTGTTTAAATACCAGTGTCATTAATATTCACATATTTACTGAAACAATAATAGAGCCAGCAGTCAGTATCCAGATTTATGTATTTACTATACATAACATATAAATGTTTACAGTAGTGTATCTGTTCCAGATTGTCAAGATAAATTATAAGTTAGCTCTGACATGTTTGATGTTGTAAAATCAATAGTAGGTATAAAAAATGAACCCTATCAGCAACAAATGATACACATTCCTCAAATAACCATACACCATATGCGACGAGCTATTAAAATGGTTTAAAGATCATGCTATAAATGGCAATCCTATTATAGTTTCTAATTATAATTATTATTGTGACGTTAAAAATAATTTGATAACACAGAGAGGCTATTAATGTGTAGTTTGTGAACCATCATTATCCAATGACCTCAACTTATATGCAAATCTAAATATGTGTAAACTGAATTGACAAAGTTGGAGATTTTGTGAACAAAAAGATTCAGAGCTAACAGACATAAGACTTATAGAAATGAGGAACTAACAAGAACAGTAGCAACAGATCCATTGAAGTCATTGGTAGAGACTTATAACTTTATCAAGAATTACCTTCTGTTTTAAGTCTACATCTTATAAAATATAATGTAGAGAATAATAAAAGCATTATCATTTCAATGACTGAAAATAATGAAAATGTCAGACCTATAGTCCCCTGTTTTAATGGTTAACAGTCAGTGAGGTTACTATGATTACAGAGCATACTGAGTTTTTACAGTCTGAAGAAAAATAATTTCAATTGAACAACGATCATCGGAAGCCAGTGAGCAGTAAAAATTCCTTATGTCATTATTTGGGAACTGATGTCCATTACTGACACCAGATAATAGATGTGATAAATCACAAGACTAAGTTTGGAAAAGTCAAGTATATAATCCCGATTAGCGATTAAATGACAGTGCGCTAGCCACATGACATACAGATCTTAGGTTCTGTGTCATATTGGAATAGATAGTGTAGATTATATAAAGTAGTAGCAACCAGTAGGTATTCTTTTTCCCAACAACTGATTATTTCATATGATTCTGAAAGTAAACCCATTATACGGAGAAAAAGTTAAGACAGAAAATCTTCAATTCTTCTACTGAATCTAAACATTTATTTCATATCACAGTGAAACCAAGTTATTAAGCAACCCATAGAGAGCAAAAAAATGTAATCCCTTTACAAAAAAAAAGACAAAATACAAGAGAATATCAAGAAA